TTGTGTTATTTAAAACTCAGTCGCCATAGCAATCCACGCCTCGAAACAGATTTGCTCTTCTAACATTTGAAACCATATCTCGTTGATACTGACATTTAGTCGCCCTTTTCTGGCATTGTAAATTTCACCAGATTCACTGATCGTTAGAAGAAAGGAAAATGACTGTTTATATGATTGAGAGATCAACATTTTCTGTTTAATTATCGACTTTTGCTGACATGTTAGCAGAAATCCTTGTTTCGCTAATGATGAACTAGTTTCGAGATGTTTATGATGCGTGTTGTATATTGGCCCGCAATGGATGACAGAAGACAACAACAAACAAAACAAAGACATGAGTAAAAAATATATATTTCCAAATCTATTTTCATTCAAGAAAATACATCAACAAAAATAAGGTTACAGTGCACTAGGCAAAAAAATATCTTTGCGTGTTCATGTAGAGGGTGAGAAGAGTTTTGTCCTGATAAGGGCAGTTTTGTAACCTCTGAGAAGAAGTGTTGCCCTGAAAAGGGCAGTTTTGTAGTCGCTGAAAAGTGTTGTACTGAAAAGGACAATTTATCGTATATCGTTTCTGCTGACGAGGATGCATGGCTGGAGCTGTAGGCCTACTGATGGCTGGAGCTGGAGGCTTGCCGAGCTGGAGGCTTGCTGAGCTGCTGATGGCTGGCTGGAACTGTATATTTATTGCAATATAAAATTACAATTTTGGCACAAAACCGAAGTGGAAGTGGGTTGAGGCTAGTCATCACTGACTAAACCCAGCTAATCTGATTCACGATCCATTCATTCATTACATTTTACTTAATCACCTCAGTAATGGATGAAATATTATTATCACCATTCATCCGGCATATACCACAATATTCACAAGGATCCTACTAAAACATCCATGACATAAAAATTTCACAATATATACATTTTTTTCTTATAAAAATAAATAAAAATATATGACATGAAATGAGGGTGGCGAGGGGATGAACCCAATTACGCCCACAGCGAATCTTCCGTCAAGGCGCAGCGTAGGAAAACCAACCTTTAGGCGTGACGATGACACCCCAAGTGTGGCGTTATTATTCCCCACCATGACATGGGCGCTGGACAAAGATTTCTCTGTGGACCTTAAGCTTGCGTCTACCCTACAAGATGGAGAAAGGCAAGCGATTGATCTCCTTCCTACGGCCCTTGCAGAAAGGGAGTACTGACAACCGGTAAAGAACGAGGAGAAAGATGTACACGGAGCCTGTCCTTTAAGCACAACCGCCTTCGAAGCCAGGTCCGAACCGCAGCCCCTACATTTACCAGTACTTCCGACCAATTCTTCTTCAGCTGGAGCCCGGCCCGAACAACACCCCAAGAATACGGACGAGACCGTAAGTCCATCAGAAGAGCAACGCGTTTCTAAGCACCTAACAGCAAGCCAAAAGACTTGTCGTGGTTAATCTTGGTCCGCGTGCCGTTCAAGCTCCTTTTGCACGACTTCAGTGTCGCTGCGACACGACACGAAAATGGATACGTCATCAGCGTACGCGGAAAATCTGGCTTGAGCCCCACCAGGTACACCGATTCAGATAATGTCCCAGAAAATGTCCCATCGACCTGAAAGATTAAATTAAAGAGGAATTACATTGTATGATCAAAAAAGGCAAAGGACTGGAACCAACTGATTGGGTCAACAGTGTTATTATATACATGCGCAAAAGTAAAGGCAAAGTGCGAATATGGCGCCTAAATCCAAAAGATCTAAACCAGGGTATAAGAAGATGCCATAAAAACACCCCGAGAACAGAGAAGCTCACACAAACCGGAGAAAATTTCTTCTCAGAACCTGATGCAAAAAAATGAGTTCTGACTCATTAAGCTTAACCCAGAATTATCGACCACCTGCAATTCTGACATTGCAGGAGTGGATGCCGATATGGATGCTATATCTGAAGAAACAGTAATAGTGGCTGACAATGCAGGAGTGGATGCTGATATGGAGGCTATATCTGAAGGAACCCTACTTGTCGTTGATATTGCAGGAGTGGATACTGATATGGATGCTATATCTGAAGGAACTGTACTAGTGGCTGACATTGCAGGAGTGGATGCTGATATGGATGCTATATCTGAAAGAACCCTACTTGTCGCTGACATTGCAGGAGTGGATACTGATATGGATGCTATATCTGAAGGAACTGTACTAGTGGCTGACATTGCAGGAGTGGATGCTGATATGGATGCTATATCTGAAGGAACAGTACTAGTGGCTGACATTGCAGGAGTGGATGCTGATATGGATGCTATATCTGAAGGAACAGTACTAGTGGCTGACATTGCAGGAGTGGATGCTGATATGGATGCTATATCTGAAAGAACCCTACTTGTCGCTGACATTGCAGGAGTGGATACTGATATGGATGTTATATCTGAAGGAACTGTACTTGTCGCTGACATTGCAGGAGTGGATGCTGATATGGATGCTATATCTGAAAGAACCCTACTTGTCGCTGACATTGCAGGAGGATTGATATGGATGTTATATGGATGTTATATCTGAATTGGGAACATGTATGCTATAGTGGCTGACTAGTGCAGGAGTGGATGCTGATATGGATGCTATATCTGAAGGAACGTTACTAGTGGCTGACATTGCAGGAGTGGATACTGATATGGATGCTATATCTGAAAGAACCGTACTTGTCGCTGACATTGCAGGAGTGGATACTGATATGGATGTTATATCTGAAGGAACCCTACTAGTGGCTGACATTGCAGGAGTGGATGCTGATATGGATGCTATATCTGAAAGAACTGTACTTGTGGCTGACATTGCAGGAGTGGATGCTGATATGGATGTTATATCTGAAGGAACTGTACTAGTGGCTGACATTGCAGGAGTGGATGCTGATATGGATGCTATATCTGAAGGAACAGTACTAGTGGCTGACATTGCAGGGAGTGGATGCTGATATGGATGCTATATCTGAAAGAACAGTACTAGTGGCTGACATTGCAGGAGTGGATGCTGATATGGATGCTATATCTGAAAGAACCCTACTTGTCGCTGACATTGCAGGAGTGGATACTGATATGGATGTACTAGTGGCTGACATATCTGAATCTGAAGAACCCTACTAGTAATGACATTGCAGGAGTGGATACTGATTGTGGATGCTATATCTGAAGGAACTACTAGTGGCTGACATTGCAGGGAGTGGATGCTGATATGGATGCTATATCTGAATGAACATTACTAGGACATTGCAGGAGGATGCTGATATGGATGCTATATCTGAAAGTGGCTGACCAGGAGTGGATGCTGATATGGATGCTATATCTGAAAGAACCCCTACTTGTCGCTGACATTGCAGGAGTGGATACTGATATGGATGCTATATCTGAAGGAACTGTACTAGTGGCTGACATTGCAGGAGTGGATGCTGGGATGCTATATCTGAAGGAACCTATGGATTGCAGGAGTGGATGCTGATCTGCTAAGGAACAGTACTAGTGGCTGACATTGCAGGAGTGGATGCTGGTATGGATGCTATATCTGAATAGAACAGTACTAGTGGCTGACAATGCAGGAGTGGATGCTGATATGGATGCTATATCTGAAGGAACAGTACTAGTGGCTGACATTGCAGGAGTGGATGCTGATATGGATGCTATATCTGAATGTACTAGTGGCTGACATTGCAGCATTGGATGCTGATATGGATGCTATATCTGACGGAACATTACTAGTGGCTGCATTTGCAGGAGTGGATGCTGATATGGATGCTATATCTGAAAGAACCCTACTTGTCGCTGACATTGCAAGGGAGTGGATGCTGATATGGATGCTATATCTGAAGGAACTGTACTAGTGGCTGACATTGCAGGAGTGGATGCTGATATGGATGCTATATCTGAATGAACAGTAACCCTGATATGGATGCTATATCTGAAGGAACAGTACTAGTGGCTGACGTTGCAGGAGTGGACGTTGATATGGATGCTATATCTCAATGAACAGTACAAGTGGCTAACAATGCAGGAGTGGATGCTGATATGGATGCTATATCTGAAGGAACATTACTAGTAACATATGGATGCTATATCTGAATGAACTGGCTGACTGACATTGCAGGAGTGGATGCTGATATGGATGCTATATCTGAAGGAACTGTACTAGTGGCTGACATTGCAGGGAGTGGATGCTGATATGGATGCTATATCTGGAAGGAACTAGTGGCTGACATTGCAGGAGTGGATGCTGATATGGATGCTATATCTGAAGGAACTACTATCTGGAATGGATACTGATATGGATGCTATATCTGAAGGAACTGTACTAGTGGCTGACATTGCAGGGAGTGGATGCTGATATGGATGCTATATCTGAAAGAACAGTGACTATCTGATATTTCAGGAATGAACAGGGATGGCTGACATTGCAGATGGATGCTGATATGGATGCTATATCTGAACTGTACTAGTGGCTGACATTGCAGGGGAGTGGATGGATGCTATATCTGAAAGGATGCTATTGCAGGATCTGAAATGAATCAAGGAACACTAGTGGCTGACATTGCAAAAGTTGATGCTGATATAGATGCTATATCTGAATGACAGGCACTAGTAGCTGACATTGCAAAAGTGGATGCTGGTATGGATGCTATATCTGAAGGAACAGTACTAGTGGCTGACATTGCAGGAGTGGATGCTGATATGGATGCTATATCTGAAGGAACTGTACTAGTGGCTGACATTGCAGGAGTGGATGCTGATATGGATGCTATATCTGCTAGTGGCTGACATTGCAGGATGGATGCTGATATGGATGCTATATCTGAAAGGAACAGTACTAGTGGCTGATATTGCTGGATGCTGATATGGATGCTATATCTGTGTACTAGTGGCTGACATTGCAGGAGTGGATGCTGATATGGATGCTATATCTGAAGGAAGAGTACTAGTGGCTGACATTGCAAAAGTGGATGCTGGTTGCATATCTGAAGGAAAGAACCCTACTAGTGGCTGACATTGCATGGTGGATGGGATGCTATATCTGAAGGAACTGTACTAGTGGCTGACATTGCAGGAGTGGATGCTATGGATGCTGAAGGAACACTACTAGTGGCTGACATTGCAGAAGTGGATGCTGATATGGATGCTATATCTGAAGAAACGGTACTAGTAACTGACATTGAAGCAGTGGCTGGTGATGTGGATGCTATATCTGAAGGAACTGTACTAGTGGCTGACATTGCAGGAGTGGATGCTGATATGGATGCTATATCTGAAGGAACTGTACTAGTGGCTGACATTGCAGGAGTGGATGCTGATATGGATGCTATATCTGAATGAACAGTACTAGTGGCTGACATTGCAGGAGTGGATGCTGATATGGATGCTATATCTGAAGGAACTGTACTAGTGGCTGACATTGCAGGAGTGGATGCTGATGTGGATTCTATATCTGAAGGAACAGTACTAGTGGCTGACATTGCAGGTGTGCATGTTGATATGGATGCTATATCGGAATGAACAGTACTAGTGGCTGACATTGTAGGAGTGGATGTTGATATGGATGCTATATCTCAAAGAACAGTACTAGTGGATAACATTGCAAGGAGTGGATGCTGATATAGATGCTATATCTGAATGAACAGTACTAGTGACTGACATTGCAGGAGTGGATGCTGATATGGATGCTATCTCTGAATGAACGGTACTAGTGGCTGACATTGCAGGGTGGATGCTGCTGATATGTATGCTATATCTGAATGAACGGTACTAGTGGCTGACATTGCAGGAGTGGATGCTGATATGGATGCTATATCTGAATGAACAGTACTAGTGGCTGACATTGCAGGAGTGGATGCTGATATGGATGCTATATCTGAATGAACAGTACTAGTGGCTGACATTGCAGGAGTGGATGCTGATATGGATGCTATATCTGAATGAACAGTACTAGTGGCTGACATTGCAGGAGTGGATGCTGATATGGATGCTATATCTGACGGAACATTACTAGTGGCTGACGTTGCAGGAGTGGACGTTGATATGGATGCTATATCTCAATGAACAGTACAAGTGGCTAACATTGCAAGGAGTGGATGCTGATATATATGCTATATCTGAAGAAACGGTACCAGTGGCTGACAATGCAGGAGTGGATGCTGATATGGATGCTATATCTGAATGAACAGTACTAGTGGCTGACATGGCAGGAGTGGATGTTGATATGGATGCTATATCTGAATGATCGGTACTAGTGGCTGACATTGCAGCAGTGGATGCTGATATGGATGCTATATTTGACGGAACAGTACTAGTGGCTGACATTGCAGGAGTGGATGCTGATACGAATGCTATATCTGTAGGAACATTACTAGTAGCTGACATTGCCAAAGTTGATGCTGATATAGATGCTATATCTGAATGACAGGCACTAGTAGCTGACATTGCAAAATGCTGATATGGATGCTATCTGAATAACCCTACTTGTCGCCATATTGCAGGAGTGGATATGATATGGATGTTATATCTGAATACTAGTGGCTGACATTGCAGGAGTGGATGCTGGATGCTATATCTGAAGGAACAGTACTAGTGACATTGCATGGATGCTGATATGGATGCTATATCTGAATGAACAGTACTAGTGGCTGACATTGCAGGAGTGGATGCTGATATGGATGCTATATCTGAAGGAACCTAGTGGCTGACATACTAGTGGATGCTGACATTGCAGCAGTGGATGGTGATATGGATGCTATATCTGAAAGGAACTGTACTAGTGGCTGACATTGCAGGAGTGGATGCTGATATGGATGCTATATCTGAATGAACCCTACTAGTGGCTGACATTGCAGGAGTGGATGCTGATATGGATGAATAGACTATATCATTGAAGGAACTGATATGGATGCTATATCTGTACTAGTGGCTGACATTGCAGGGAGTGGATGCTGATATGTATGCTATATCTGAAGAAACGGTACCAGTGGCTGACAATGCAGGAGTGGATACTGATATGGATGCTATATCTGAATGAACAGTACTAGTGGCTGATATGGCAGGAGTGGATGTTGATATGGATGCTATATCTGAAAGAACCCTATAGACATTGCAGGAGTATACTAGTGGCTGACATTGCAGGGAGTGGATGCTGATATGGATGCTATATCTGAAAGGAACAGTACTAGTGGCTGACATTGCAGGGAGTGGATGCTGATATGGATGCTATATCTGAAGGAACAGTACTAGTGGCTGACATTGCAGGAGTGGATGCTGATATGGATGCTATATCTGAAGGAACAGTACTACTGACATTGCAGGAGTGGATGCTGATATGGATGCTATATCTGAAGGAACATTGCACAAGTGGATGTTATATCTGACATTGCTGATATGGATGATATCTGGGAACGAGTACTAGTGGACATTGCAGGGTGGATGTGGATGCTGATGGATGCTATATCTGAAGGAACAGTACTAGTGGCTGACATTGCAGGGAGTGGATGCTGATATGGATGCTATATCTGAAATTATATCGAACCTACTTGTGGCTGACATTGCAGGAGATACTGATATGGATGCTATATCTGAAGGAACAGTACTAGTGGCTGACATTGCAGGAGTGGATGCTGATATGGATGCTATATCTGAAGGAACAGTACTAGTGGCTGACATTGCAGGAGTGGATGCTGATATGGATGCTATATCTGAAGGAACAGTACTAGTGGCTGACATTGCAGGAGTGGATGCTGATATGGATGCTATATCTGAAAGAACCTACTAGTGGCAGGAGTGGATGCTGATATGGATGCTATATCTGAAGGAACAGTACTAGTGGCTGACATTGCAGGAGTGGATGCTGATATGGATGCTATATCTGAAAGAACCCTACTAGTGGCTGACATTGCAGGAGGATACTGATATGGATGCTATATCTGAACTGTACTAGTGGCTGACTATGGATGCTGATATGGATGCTATATCTGAAAGAACAGGCACTAGTGGCTGACATTGCAGGAGTGGATGCTGATATGGATGCTATATCTGAATGAACCCACTAGTGGCTGACATTGCAGGGAAGTGGATGCTGGGATGCTATATCTGAAGGAACAGTACTAGTGGCTGACATTGCAGGAGTGGATGCTGATATGGATGCTATATCTGAAGGAACAGTACTAGTGGCTGACATTGCAGGAGTGGATGCTGATATGGATGCTATATCTGAAATATGGATGAACACTACTAGTGGCTGACATTGCAGAAGTGGATGCTGATATGGATGCTATATCTGAACTAGTGGCTGGAAATATGTACTAGTGGCTGACATTGCAGGAGTGGATGCTGATATGGATGCTATATCTGAATGAACTGTACTAGTGGCTGACATTGCAGGAGTGGATGCTGATATGGATGCTATATCTGAAAGAAACAGTACTAACGGCTGACATTGCAGGAGTGGATGGTGATATGGATGCTATATCTGAAGGAACAGTACTAGTGGCTGACATTGCAGGAGTGGATGCTGATATGGATGCTATATCTGAAGGAACAGTACTAGTGGCTGACATTGCAAAAGTGGATGCTGATATGGATGCTATATCTGAAGGAACAGTACTAGTGGCTGACATTGCAGGAGTGGATGCTGATATGGATGCTATATCTGAATGAACAGTACTAGTGGCTAACATTGCAAGGAGTGGATGCTGATATGGATGCTATATCTGAATGAACAGTACTAGTGGCTGACATTGCAGGAGTGGATGCTGATATGGATGCTATATCTGAATGAACGGTACTAGTGGCTGACGTTACAGGAGTGGATGCTGATATGGATGCTATATCTGAATGAACGGTACTAGTGGCTGACATTGCAGGAGTGGATGATGTGGATGCTATATGGAATGAACGGTACTAGTGGCTGACATTGCAGGAGTGGATGCTGATATGGATGATGCTATATCTGAATTGAAGGTACTAGTGGCTGACATTGCAGCAGTGGATGCTGATATGGATGCTATATCTGAAGGAACAGTACTAGTGGCTGACATTGCAGGAGTGGATGCTGATATGGATGCTATATCTGAATGAACATTACTAGTGGCTGACATTGCAGGAGTGGATGCTGATATGGATGCTATATCTCAATGAACAGTACTAGTGGCTGACATTGCAGGAGTGGATGCTGATATGGATGCTATATCTGAAGGAACTTGTACTAGTGTGGATGACATTGCTATATCTGAAAAAGAGTACTATGCTGATATGGATGCTATATCTGAATGAACAGTACTAGTGGCTGACATTGCAGCAGTGGCTGGTGATATGGATGCTATATCTGAAGGAACTGTACTAGTGGCTGACATTGCAGGTGTGGATGTTGATATGGATGCTATATCTGAATGAACAGTACTAGTAGCTGACATTGCAAAAGTGGATGCTGGTATGGATGCTATATCTGAAGGAACAGTACTAGTGGCTGACATTGCAGGAGTGGATGCTGATATGGATGCTATATCTGAATGAACAGTACTAGTGGCTGACATTGCAGGAGTGGATGCTGATATGAATGCTATATCTGAATGAACGGTACTAGTGTGCTGACATTGCAGGAGTGGATGCTGATATGGATGCTATATCTGAAAGAACGGTACTAGTGGCTGACATTGCAGCAGTGGCTGGTGATGTGGATGCTATATCTGAAAGAACTGTACTAGTGGCTGACATTGCAGGAGTGGATGCTGATATGGATGCTATATCTGAAGGAACCGTACTAGTGGCTGACATTGCAGTGGATGCTGATGGATGCTATATCTGAAGGAACACTACTAGTGGCTGACATTGCAGGAGTGGATGCTGATATGGATGCTATATCTGAAAAACCCCCTACTAGTGGCTGACATTGCAGGAGTGGATGCTGATATGGATGCTATATCTGAAAGAACAGTACTAGTGGCTGACATTGCAGGGTGGATGCTGATATGGATGCTATATCTGAAGGAACAGTACTAGTGGCTGACATTGCAGGTGTGCATGTTGATATGGATGCTATATCGGAATGAACAGTACTAGTGGCTGACATTGTAGGAGTGGATGTTGATATGGATGCTATATCTGAACAGTAAGGAACATTGTACTAGTGGCTGACATTGCAGGGAGACATTGGATGCTGATATGGATGCTATATCTGAATAGAACAGTACTAGTGGCTGACATTGCAGGAGTGGATACTGATATGGATGCTACATTGCATCTGAATATCTGAAGGAACAGTACTAGTGGCTGACATTGGCACATTGCAGTGGATGCTGATATGGATGCTATATCTGAATGAACGCGGTACTAGTGGCTGACATTGCAGGAGTGGATGGTGATATGGATGCTATATCTGAAGGAACATACTAGTGGCTGACATTGCAGGAGTGGATGCTGATATGGATGCTGATCTGGAAAGAACCCCTACTATCATTGCAGGAGTGGATGCTGATATGGATACTATATCTGAATGAACACTACTTGTGGACATTGCAGGTGTGGATGCTGATATGGATGCTATATCTGAAGGAACAGTATAGTGGCTGAATTGCAGGAGTGGACTGATATGGATGATATCTGCAAGGAATGTTACTAGTGGCTGGATTGCAGGATATGGGATGCTATATCTGAAAGAACAGTACTAGTGGCTGACATTGCAGGAGTGGATGCTGATATGGATGCTATATCTGAAGGAACATTACTAGTGGCTGACATTGCAGGAGTGGATGCTGATATGGATGCTATATCTGAAAGAACCCTGCAGTGGCTGACATTGCAGGAGTGGATACTGATATGGATGCTATATCTGAATGAACGGTACTAGTGGCTGACATTGCAGGAGTGGATGCTGATATGGATGCTATATCTGAAGGAACAGTACTAGTTGGCTGACATTGCAGGAGTGGATGCTGATATGGATGCTATATCTGAAAGAACCCTAGCTGACATTTGCAGGAGTGGATGCTGGTATGGATGCTATATCTGAAGGAAGAGTACTAGTGGCTGACATTGCAGCAGTGGCTGGTGATGTGGATACTATATCCGAAGGAGAAGTACTAGTGGCTAACATTGCAGGAGTAGATGCTATATGGATGCTATATCTGAATGAACCCTACTAGTGGCTAACATTGCAGGAGTAGATGCTATATGGATGCTTTATCTGAAGGAACACTACTAGTGGCTGACATTGCAGAAGTGGATGCTGATATGGATGCTATATCTGAAGGAACGTTACTAGTGGCTGACATTGCAAAGTGGCTGACTTGCATATCTGAAAGAACCTACTTGTCGCTGACATTGGATGGATGCTGATATGGATGCTATATCTGAATGAACAGTACTAGTGGCTGACATTGCAGGGAGTGGATGGATATGGATGCTATATCTGAATGAACAGGTACATTGCAGTGGCTGACATTGCATATCTGAAGGAACAGTACTAGGACATTGCTGATATGGATGCTATATCTGAAAGAACAGTACTAGTGGCTGACATTGCAACTGATATGGATGCTATATCTGAAAGAACAGTACTAGTGGCTGACATTGCAGGAGTGGATGCTGATATGGATGCTATATCTGAAGGAACTGAAGTACTAGTGGCTGACATTGCAAGAGTGGATGCTGATATGGATGCTATATCTGAAGGAACAGTACTAGTGGCTGACATTGCAGGAGTGGATGCTGATATGGATGCTATATCTGAAGGAACAGTACTAGTGGCTGACATTGCAACAGTGGATGCTGATATGGATGCTATATCTGAAAGAACAGTACTAGTGGATGCTGACATTGCAACAGTAGTGGATGCTGATATGGATGCTATATCTGAAGGAACCCTACTAGTGGCTGACATTGCAGAAGTGGATGCTGATATGGATGCTATATCTGAAGGAACAGTACTAGTGGCTGACATTGCAGGAGTGGATGCTGATATGGATGCTATATCTGAAGGAACAGTACTAGTGGCTGACATTGCAGGAGTGGATGCTGATATGGATGCTATATCTGAAAGAACCCTACTAGTGGCTGACATTGCAGGAGTGGATGCTGATATGGATGCTATATCTGAAAGAATTGCAGGAGTGGATGCTGATGTACTAGTGGCTGACACATTGCAGGGAGTGGATGCTGATATGGATGGATGTTGATGTGGATGCTATATCTGAATGAACCCTACTAGTGGCTGACATTGCAGGAGTGGATGCTGATATGGATGCTATATCTGAAGGAACAGTACTAGTGGCTGACATTGCAGGAGTGGATGCTGATATGGATGCTATATCTGAAGGAACTACTAGTGGCTGACATTGCAGGACGGATACTATGGCTGGATGCTATAAATGAAGGAACCCTACTAGTGGCTGACATTGCAGGAGTGGATGCTGATATGGATGCTATCTGAAAAGAACGGTACTAGTGGCTGACATTGCAGGAGTGGATGCTGATATGGATACTATATCTGAAGGAACAGTACTAGTGGCTGACATTGCAGGAGTGGATGCTGATATGGATGCTATATCTGCAGGATGACGATATGGACTAGTGGCTGACATTGCAGGAGTGGATGCTGATATAACTGAAGATGCTATATCTGAATGAACGGTACTAGTAGCTGACATTGCAGGAGTGGATGCTGATATGGATGCTATATCTGAAGGAACAGTACTAGTGGCTGACATTTGCAGGATGGATGCTGAAGGAATGAGTATCTGAAGGAACAGTACTTGTAGCTGACATTGCCAAAGTTGATGCTGATATAGATGCAGTGGAACTGTACTGACATTGCAGGAGTGGCTGCTGATGTGGAAGCTATATCTGAAAGAACTGTACTAGTGGCTGACATTGCAGGAGTGGATGCTGATAACAGATATGGATGCTATATCTGAATGAACAGTACTAGTGGCTGACATTGCAGGTGTGGATGCTGATATGGATGCTATATCTGAAGGAACAGTACTAGTGGCTGACATTGCAGGAGTGGATGCTGATATAGATGCTATATCTGAATGAACGGTATCTGATATGGACTGTGGCTGACATTGCAGGTGTGGATGATGCTATATCTGAAAGAACTGTACTAGTGGCTGACATTGCAGGAGTGGATGCTGATATGGATGCTATATCTGAAGGAAAAAGTACTAGTGGCTGACATTGCAGGTGTGGATGCTGATATGGATGCTATATCTGAAGAAGGAATACTACTAGTGGCTGATTGATTGCAGGAGTGGATGATATGGATGCTATATCTGAAGGAACAGTACTAGTGTACTAGCTGACATTGCAGGAGTGGATGGATGCTGAAATATGTGGCTGACATTGCAGGAGTATATCTGGATGCTATATCTGAAAGAACTGTACTAGTGGCTGACATTGCAGGAGTGGATGCTGATATGGGTGCTATATCTGAATGAACAGTACTAGTGGCTGACATTGCAGGAGTGGATGTTGATATGGATGCTATATCTCAAAGAACAGTACTAGTGGCTGACATTTGCAGGGAGTGGATGCTGATATGGATGCTATATCTAAAGGAACGGTACTAGTGGCTGACATTGCATATCTGGAACTGTACTAGTGGCTGATGCTGATATGGATGCTATATCTGAAAGAACGGTACTAGTGGCTGACATTGCAACAGTGGCTGGTGATGTGGATACGATATCTGAAGGAAAAGTACTAGCGGCTGACATTGCAAAAGTAGATGCTGATATGGATGCTTCATCTGAAGGAATACTACTAGTGGCTGACATTGCAGAAGTGGTTGCTGATATAGATGCTATATCTAAAGAAACGGTACAAGTAGCTGACATTGCAAAAGTGGATGCTGGTATGGATGGAAGGAACTACTAGTGGCTGACATTTGCAGGGGATGTGGATGCTATATCTGAAGGATGTGAATGAACAGTACTGACATTGCAGGAGTGGATGCTATGGATATGGATGCTATATCTGAAATGGAGAATCTGAAGGAACTGTACTAGGACATTGCAGGAGTGATGCTGATATGGATGCTATATCTGAATGAACAGTACTGCAGGAGTGGCTGACATTGCAAGAATGAACAGGATGCTGATATGGATGCTATATCTGAATTCAAGGAACAGTACTAGTGGCTGACATTGCAGGAGTGGATGCTGATATGGATGCTATATCTGAATGAACAGTACTAGTGGCTGATATTGCAGGATGTGGATAGTGGCTGATATGGATGCTATATCTGAATGAACAGTACTAGTGGCTGACATTGCTGATATGGATGCTATGAAAGACAGTACTGATGGATGCTGATATGGATGCTATATCTGAACAGTACTAGTGGCTTTGACATTGCAGGAGTGGATGCTGATATGGATGCTATATCTGAATGAACAGTACTAGTGGCTGACATTGCAGGAGTGGATGCTGATATGGATGCTATATCTGAATGAACAGTACTAGTGGCTGACATTGCAGGAGTGGATGTGGCTATATCTGAAAGAACCCTACTAGTGCCTGACATTGCATGGATGCTGATATGGATGCTATATCTGAATGAACAGTACTAGTGGCTGACATTGCAGGAGTGGATGCTGATATGGATGCTATATCTGAAAGGAACAGTACCTGACATTGCAGGGTGGATGCTGACATTGCAGGAACATTACTAGTGGATTGCTGATATGGATGCTATATCTGAATGAACAGTACTAGTGGCTGACATTGCAAAGTGGATGCTGATATGGATGCTATATCTGAAGGAACATTACTAAGTGGCTGACATTGCAGGAGGGATACTGATATGGATGCTATATCTGAATGAACAGTACTAGTGGCTGACATTGCAGGAGTGGATGATATGGATGCTGATCTGGAAGAAACCTACTAGTGGCTGACATTGCAGGATACTGATATGTTATATCTGAAGCTATATCTGAAAGAACGGTACTATGGATGGCTGACATTGCAGACATTGAGTGGATGCTGATATGGATGCTATATCTGAAGGAACAGTACTAGTGGCTGACATTGCAGGAGGGATGCTGATATGGATGCTATATCTGAAAGAACAGTACTTAGTGGCTGACATTGCAGGAGTGGATGCTGATATGGATGCTATATCTGAATGAACCCTACTTGTGGCTGACATTGCAGGAGTGGATACTGATATGGATGTTATATCTGAAGGAACAGTACTGGGCTGACATTGCAGGGAGTGGATGCTGATATGGATGCTATTCTGGAAGGAACAGTACTAGTGGCTGACATTGCAGGAGTGGATGCTGATATGGATGCTATATCTGAAGGAACAGTACTAGTGGCTGACATTGCAGGAGTGGATACTGATATGGATGCTATATCTGAAGGAACAGTACTAGTGGCTGACATTGCAGGAGTGGATGCTGATATGGATGCTATATCTGAATGAACAGTACTAGTGGCTGACATTGCAGGAGTGGATGCTGATATGGATGCTATATCTGAAGGAACAGTACTAGTGGCTGACATTGCAGGAGTGGATGCTGATATGGATGCTATATCTGAAAGAACCCTACTTGTCGCTGACATTGCAGGAGTGGATACTGATATGGATGTTATATCTGAAGGAACAGTACTAGTATCATTGGAAGGAACTGATATGGATGCTATATCTGAAAGAACCCTACTTGTCGCTGACATTGCAGGAGGGATACTGATATGGATGCTATATCTGAAGGAACAGTACTAGTGGCTGACATTGCAGGAGTGGATGCTGATATGGATGCTATATCTGAAAGAACCCTACTTGTCGCTGACATTGCAGGAGTGGATGCTGATATGGATGCTATATCTGAATGAACCCTACTTGTCGCTGACATTGCAGGAGTGGATACTGATATGGATGTTATATCTGAAGGAACAGTACTAGTGGCTGACATTGCAGGAATACTGATATGGATGCTAGAAAGAACCCTACTTGTCGCTGACATTGCAGGAGTGGATACTGATATGGATGTTATATCTGAAGGAACAGTACTAGTGGCTGACATTGCAGGAGTGGATGCTGATATGGATGCTATATCTGAAGGAACAGTACTAGTGGCTGACATTGCAGGAGTGGATACTGATATGGATGCTATATCTGAATGAACCCCATTAGTGGCTGACATTGCAGGAGTGGATATTGATATGGATGTTATATCTGAAAAATGAACCATTGCAGGAGTGGATGCTGATATGGATGCTATGTCTGAAAGAACCCCTACTGACATTGCAGGAGGGATACTGATATGGATGTTATATCTGAAGGAACAGTACTAGTGGCTGACATTGCAGGAGTGGATGCTGATATGGATGCTATATCTGAAAGAACAGTACTAGTGGCTGACATTGCAGGAGTGGATACTGATATGGATGCTATATCTGAATGAACTACTATGGCTGACATTGCAGGAATGCTGATATGGATGCTATATCTGAAAGAACAGTACTTTGGCTGACATTGCAGGAGTGGATGCTGATATGGATGCTATATCTGAAGAACAGTACTAGTGGCTGACATTGCAGGGAGTGGATGCTGATATGGATGCTATATCTGAAAGAACCCTACTAGTGGCTGACATTGCAGGAGTGGATACTGATATGTTATATGAAGGAACAGCTAGTATTGCAGGAGGATGCTGAATGATGCTACCCTACTTGTCGCTGACATTGCAGGAGTGGATACTGATATGGATGCTATATCTGGAAAGAACAGTACTAGACATTGCAGGAGTGGATGCTGATATGGATGCTATATCTGAAGGAACAGTACTAGTGGCTGACATTGCAGGAGTGGATGCTGATATGGATGCTATATCTGAATGAACAGTACTAGTGGCTGATATGGATGTTATGTCATTGCATTGGAGTGGATGCTGATATGGATGCTATATCTGAAGGAACAGTACTACTGACATTGCAGGAGTGGATGCTGATATGGCTGAAAGAACATTGTGGCTGACATTGCAGGAGTGGATACTGATATGGATGCTATATCTGAAAATGAACAGTACTTGTGGCTGACATTGCAGGGAGTGGATGCTGATATGGATGTTATATCTGAAGGAAAACTAGTGGACATTGCAGGAGTGGATATCTGACATTGCAGCATGAGTGGATGCTGATATGGATGCTATATCTGAATGGAACCCTATATCTGAAGGAACTTAGTGGCTGACATTGCAGGAGTGGATATTGATATCTGGATGTTACATATCTGAATGGAACAATGAACCCTACTTGTGGCTGACATTGCAGGAGTGGATACTGATATGGATGCTATATCTGAAGGAACAGTACTAGTGGCTGACATTGCAGGAGTGGATGCTGATATGGATGCTATATCTGAAAGAACCCTACTTGTCGCTGACATTGCAGGAGTGGATACTGATATGGATGCTATATCTGAAGGAACGAGTACTAGTGGCTGACATTGCAGGAGTGGATGCTGATATGATGCTATATCTGAAAGAACTACTATCTGAATTGAATGCTGATATGGATACTGAAGGAACAGTACTTGTGGCTGACATTGCAGGAGTGGATGCTGATATGGATGCTATATCTGAAAGAACCCTACTAGTGGCTGACATTGCAGGAGTGGATACTGATATGGATGATATCTGAAGGAACAGTTATACATTGCAGGTGGGATGCTGATATGGATGCTATATCTGAAAGAACCCTACTTGTGGCTGACATTGCAGGAGTGGATACTGATATGGATGCTATATCTGAAAGGAACACATTGCAGGAGTGGATGCTGATATGGAACAGTGTCGCTGACATGATAGTGGATGATATGGATGTTATATCTGAAGGAACAGTACTAGTGGCTGACATTGCAGGAGGATGCTGATATGGATGCTATATCTGAACCCTACTTGTCGCTGACATTGCAGGAGTGGATGCTGATATGGATGTTATATCTGAAGGAACAGTACTAGTGGCTGACATTGCAGGGAGTGGATATATCTGATATGGATGCTATATCTGAAGGAACAGTACTAGTGGCTGACATTGCAGGAGTGGATGCTGATATGGATGCTATGTCTGAAAGAACCCTACTTGTCGCTGACATTGCAGGAGTGGATACTGATATGGATGTTATATCTGAAGGAACAGTACTAGTGGCTGACATTGCAGGAGTGGATGCTGATATGGATGGAGAAGGAACAGTACTAGTGGCTGACATTGCAGGAGTGGATACTGATATGGATGCTATATCTGAAAGAACCCTACTTGTCGCTGACATTGCAGGAGTGGATATTGATATGGATGTTATATCTGAAGGAAGTACTAGAACAGGAGTATATGGATGTTATATCTGAAGGAACAGTACTAGTGGCTGACATTGCAGGAGTGGATACTGATATGGATGCTATATCTGAAGGAACAGTACTAGTGGCTGACATTGCAGGAGGATGCTATATCTGAAGGAACAGTACTAGTGGCTGACATTGCAGGATGCTGATATGGATGCTATATCTGAAAAGAACCCTACTTGTCGCTGACATTGCAGGAGTGGATACTGATATGGATGTTATATCTGAAGGAACAGTACTAGTGGCTGACATTGCAGGAGTGGATGCTGATATGGATTGCTATATCTGAAGGAACAGTACTAGTGGCTGACATTGCAGGAGTGGATATGGATGCTGATATGGATGCTATATCTGAAAGAACCCTACTTGTCGCTGACATTGCAGGAGGGATACTGATATGGATGTTATATCTGAAGGAACAGTACTAGTGGCTGACATTGCAGGAGTGGATGCTGATATGGATGCTATATCTGAAGGAACAGTACTAGTGGCTGACATTGCAGGAGTGGATGCTGATATGGATGCTATATCTGAAAGAACCCTACTTGTCGCTGACATTGCAGGAGTGGATACTGATATGGATGTTATATCTGAAGGAACAGTACTAGTGGCTGACATTGCAGGAGTGGATGCTGATATGGATGCTATATCTGAAGGAACAGTACTAGTGGCTGACATTGCAGGAGTGGATGCTGATATGGATGCTATATCTGAAAGAACCATTGCAGGAGTACTTGTCGCTGACATTGCAGGAGTGGATACTGATATGGATGTTATATCTGAAGGAAATGTACTAGTGGCTGACATTGCAGGAGTGGATGCTGATATGGATACTATATCTGAAAGAACCCTACTTGTCGCTGACATTGCAGGAGTGGATACTGATATGGATGCTATATCTGAAGGAACAATACTAGTGGCTGACATTGCAGGAGTGGATGCTGATATGGATGCTATATCTGAAGGAACAGTACTATTGGCTGGCATTGCAGGAGTGGATACTGATATGGATGCTATATCTGAAAGAACCCTACTTGTCGCTGACATTGCAGGAGTGGATACTGATATGGATGTTATATCTGAAGGAACAGTACTAGTGGCTGACATTGCAGGAGTGGATGCTGATATGGATGCTATATCTGAAGGAACAGTACTAGTGGCTGACATTGCAGGAGTGGATACTGTTATGGATGCTATATCTGAAAGAACCCTACTTGTCGCTGACATTGCAGGAGTGGATACTGATGTGGATGTTATATCTGAAGGAACAGTACTAGTGGCTGACATTGCAGGAGTGGATGCTGATATGGATGCTATATCTGAAAGAACCCTACTTGTCACTGACATTGCAGGAGTGGATACTGATATGGATGTTATATCTGAAGGAACTGTACTAGTGGCTGACATTGCAGGAGTGGATGCTGATATGGATGCTATATCTGAAAGAACCCTACTTTTTGCTGACATTTCAGGAGTAGATACTGATATGGATGCTATATCTGAAGGAACTCTACTATTGGCTGACATTACAGGAGTGGATACTGATATGGATGCTATATCTGAAGGAACAGTACTAGTGGCTGACATTGCAGGAGTAGATGCCGATATGGATGCTATATCTGAAGGAACACTACTAGTGTCTGACATTGCAGGAGTGGATGCTTGTATGGATGATATATCTGAAGGAATGGTATGAGTGTCTGCTGTTGCACCTGTCTTTTGCCACAATGTTAATTTTGGAAGTCTTCGTATTTTCTCCTTCTCCTCTGTCAATCTCTTCTTCTGTGCTCCACTCAAAACATTACGTTTCATTTCTGCTGAAATGGTTATTAACCTGGAAATACATATCTTTACATAAATATTTAGTATTTATTCCCACCCCAGGATGTAGGATCTCTATCTATAAAAGGCAGGATGTGTGTGTGTGTAACGAATGCATGTCCGCAATTTTCGACGGATTTGCACCAAAATTTACATGCACATGTTCCAAGTAAGACGGAAGGCCAAGGCCGACTTTCCATTTCCCAACTCCCATCGATAGTGGAAATAATCGATTTTTACATGCTTCTCATGTTTTTTACATGTTTTCATGTAGTTTGCGACCATTTTCTACTGACCAGAGTGAGAGCCTATAGCTGGCTGCCACGAATAGGCAGGAAGATTCTATTGGCCAGCGTGAGAGCCAACAGCTGACTGACACGAATGTTAACTAGCATGCTAGCATGCAAAGAAATTGATAGCTGCATTCGTCACTAGTGGGAAAAATTTAAATCTGCATGGCACTTTACTCCAAATGGCTCCTTCGCTTGCTTAAACTCAACGTTGATTCTGATTCCGCAGAACTGGGTTGGATGTGAAAAAGTATTGGTTGTTAACATTCTTTTTTCATTCGTTTTTTCCAGTTACGGGTCCTTTTTTAAAGCTGATCGTTTTGTGTTCATTTTGTTTTAGTTCATTTTGTTTAGTTCTCTTTTAGGAACAGATTTAATGTTTAGTATAGAGCTTAGGAAAAATTTGCTAGTGAGATAGGCAAGAAGTAAGGCATATAGCAACATCAACACGGAAAAGGGCACTCCTTTAAAAGCAAGGAAGGGAAAAAATATTTTAAGTCAAGTGATAGCGATTGCTGTATGAGTGTGTGATTGCTGATTGTGTTTTTGTTGTTTTGCGCGTGAGTTTAAGACCACATTCACACACTTTAGAATAAAAAATATATATACATGTATTGTCAAATGACCGGATATATTGTAGCGTCTTGTCGAACGTAATTTCAACGAAGAAATAAATTGAATAAACATATATATTTTTTCTTTTCTCAATAATTTTGTAGTTTTTAAACTTAATAGTGATTAAATTTGGATTTTAAAATTGCCAGTTTTTAATTTTAATATTAAATTTTATCATATAATTTTATAATTATTGGTTAGTATAAATTATTTTTAATATTACACGTATTTTAAAGATCTATATAGCTATTATAACATGATTTCGTTGTCAAGCTTTTGAATCTTTCTATACTTGGTTTTTGATTGGTTATTCTAGCTTTTGTAACAATGTTTCCCCCTAGTGTAGGATCGTTAATTAATCTGAAACTTTTAAAACCATTTATTTTATCTTCAACATCATCACTTGATAAGACAGCGTGTGTGTTGAAACAAAATGGCTATTTTTGTAGTGATTTTATAACATACTTATGTTATAATTTTTTTTATAAATTGTAATTATTTATATATATATATATATAGATATAGATAGATAGATCGATAGAGAGAGAGAGAGAGAGAGAGAGAGAGAGAGAGAGAGAGAAAGAGAAAGAGAGAGAATTACCACTAGTAAAAAGTTTGTCACTTAGCTGATTGATGTTACCTTCCTTACTCCAGAGTTTCGTAGACTGAATCTATCTACCAGCGATGTTCGTAAATATGTGTTGTCTATATTTTTAATGTTATATCACTTCAAACCGTAGGTGATCACGCCTCTCCACAATTTCCTTTTCTTTATTATCTGTGATTTGCCATACATTCTAAGAAACATAGTGGAGTGGTTTCCTGTTGACTGCGAAGCCTCTACGGCTTTGAATTCACAATAGTCTTTTCACGTAGATTGATTATCACCAAAAAATCTAGGAGGCCGCCCCAGTCTATCCTTGGTTGGAGAAGAGACGAATTAATACCTTTCACCGACTCCATTTTTCGATTTGATATCCTTTTCATTAGCCGCATATCCACCTTATCTGCTATTGTGATATATATAATTATAAAAACAGCCACAAGATTTAGCCTTTAAATGTTCGAGAGGAAATGGAATGTCAAACAAGGTTCAGATAAATAACTGCTTACTTATAAATGTAGCACATAAAAACATTAAAAAAAAAAGTTTTCTCGCAACAACAGGTGTAAAAGTTTTTTTTTTAAATTTTGTAATCAATCCACTTTCAAGTAAGGCGATAAGGCCACTAAAACGCAAGGGACTGCTCGAGTGGGGGGTGATTAACCGAGTCCTAAATAGGGAACAAGGGGAAAAACCTCTATTCCTGTTCAAAAGACTGGCGAAAATAGGCGAAAACGAATGAAAAAAAAAGGAATACTATTTTCCCAAATAGAAAGAAAATATACCCCTTGATACTTAAGGGAACCTCAGGATGATGTGATGGTCAACGAGTTTGTTAGTGTGTTTGCTCATTACTTCTGAGTTCGACCCCCAATGGGTGCTTCCTGTTTGTAATCTCGTGCAAAATTAAGTTAAAATTAGTAAAAGTCATACTCTCTATTCTTATACAAATACACGTATTCCAGAAGAACAGTGGATCCTCCCACATAGCCGACATTATTTAGTTGTGGCTAACTGAAAATCTTCATAATCATATTATCCCATAAATGTAGCCTCATAGCTCGAGTAATTTGAATCCTCTGGACTAATATGCCTAAAGTGTCATCAACGAGGAGACTATACTAACACCTCGTTGAAAGACACCATTGTTGACGTGTTAGCTATTTATCAGAACCATATGATCGGGGTATTCAGTTTTGTTTTTCGAGACTGCATCAAAGCTTTTCTCGTTTTCTATATATCCAAGCTAATCATGTGTACATTATATATATATATATATATATATATATATATATATATATATATATATATATATATATGATTGTAACATCTTTTAAGATATTTGCAGTTTCATTAATTGTACATTGTTGAATTAGACGTCAATAATATATATATATATATATATATATATATATATATATATATATATATATATATATATACATATAACAATGGCGAGTATAAAATCTACATTCATATATTTGCGCGTACGTATAAATATATTTCCTCCTCAGGTGTTGTAAATACAATGCCCAATGTTATGAAACAGAGCTATAAATATATATTAGTGGATTTACATAATATCCAACGTCGATAGCACGACTCGGAGTTTCATGCAGTTTTTGCAATCTTCAGGTGCAAATATGTTCTAACCGTTATGGAGTTCGCGAATTCCATAACGATTAGAACATATCTGCATAGAAGTAGCAATGTCATTTTTTTTTAACGCTACTCCTATATAAGTACTTAATTATTTTAATCATCCATGAAAGATTACAAACGTTTGTTGACAAGGATAGTAAACAGATGGAGTTTGAAATCATAATTTCTGTTCTACTTTTCGAATAGTGTTACACATATAATAGTATAAACAATATCAAGAACTGCATGCATATTATATATATATATATATATATATATATATATATATATATATATATATATATATATATATATGCATCTGCGGAGGAGTATGTGGTATAAAATCCTGCAGGCTAGGCATTTCTGGAGATATAATTGAACTAATGGTCCATTAGCGTAATATTACACCACAACATCACTATTGGAGACAGAGTAGAAACATTATAATTTTCATTTGTTATTTTTTATTATAAATTAATGTTCCTTGCTTGTTATTTTATCACTCTTACATAAATAACTATCAATAATTTATAGAGATCAGTACAAAATTGCGTGGTTAGACTTTTATGTCTTTGTGCCTCAACGGCTCTTGGGAATTTAGCATCAGGCTAAATCGGCAATTGGTTACTGGACAAAAGTGGAGTAACTTGAGTCTACTTAACGATGTTAAACAGGCATTGTGATTGGAAATAAGAATACAAACTAAGCAGCAACAAGAAGAATAACAAAAGCTGATTCAATTTGTAAAAGGGCGGAGTTCATATATCGTATTAAACGTTATTTATCATTCTTGTAACATTTATTTAAAAATAAAATTATCTTGGTTGAGCAATGTCAGCCATAGGCATACTCAACAAATCACAAGTTTGCCACAAATTGCTTTCCTGTTTTGAATTGGTGCTTAACACTTAATTCTAGGAAGGCTTCTTCATCCATGTGTTCCTTTCACCCCAAAATATTCTGTCTTGTATTCATTTACTTGCCAGTATGAATCTGGTTACATTGGACCAGTGGTATGCAAAGGGGCGGTGGCCCTGGGCGGTGCTCCCGGACGGTACTTCCAATGAAGAATATTTTTGTTGCAACAAAGGCAGCGATAAGGAAGAAGAAACATAACGTTTTGTTTTTATTTAGCAAATACTCCTAAATTTAGATATTAAAAATAAATAAAATATTTTTTAATTTTAGTTTTAAAATGTCTGTATTTGCCTGCTGGTAGTGCTGTTAATTCGGCCAAACCGATGAAGAAAATTTTAGATAGGGTTCAAATGACGCCAGCTTGTTTTAAAAAAAAATGTCTCCAAAAAGCGGTGGGGATAGACCCCACATACGCACGGTGATCAATGTGGGCTGGTCATTAAGTATACCATGAATTACCCCCTCCTCCTTAGTGTTTGGTGAGTACCTACATGAATCCAAAGTTTTTTCAAAGCCATGTGAGAAGTCGAAGACTTTGTCGTCAGTTCTTTCATTTTCATTTTTCATGCCTGTGAACTGGTAGTGAAAAGAAAGTTCAAAAGATATAAAGGCTGGATGAGGAGATAGAATGCCATAAAATCAAAGATTATTTAAAAATGATTCTTGCTTATTATTGAAACAGTTACATTTTTATTCTTATAGAATCAAATTCTTTCAGACTAAAAACTGTAAAACCAAAGGAAATTTGGTATCAACAT